TTGGAGGACGACTTGGTTGGTCATGCTGACCTAGTTCGAAAGAATTGTCTGACCTCGATCTCGAAGAGGTCATCTTCTGTTGAACCAAATTTAGGCATCAACATGAGGTATGGTTTTTCATCATTTTTCCTTGCTCTATCCGTTTATGTACTTGGTTTGGGTCGATTTTGTTGTTTGAAGGTTTGATTTATACACCCACATGGCCGACGACTTTGGCCGTGTCATAGGCCACTCCGGTTACTTTTTGGCCAAGGTCCAAGAACTAAAACACTCATCTAGTTATGCTTGATCTTTTGGTATAATTTTTGGCCGGTGATTTGGAGATTTTTTGTGGTTGGAAAATCTCTCAAGCCACCCACCGTCAGCTGTGCATGGCACCGCGTCTGTCGGATGTTGATGACATGTTTTCAATCTAGAATTGTTCCCTCGTCATCTCAACCACGACGGTATGCTCAGATTAGCTAGATTCAACCGTTTGAGTATTATACCAAAAACCACCTATTAGGCATTTCTGGGTTCGATACGTTTGAACCGTCGAATCATGACGAAACTCTTGGGACATGTTTAGTGGATTGTATTGGACTTATAGAAACTTTTGGAATGGTAATCGAAGGTCGTGGACCTTGTAGGTCCAGTTGATCGTTTTGGAAACTATGAAGACTCGATTAACCACGAGTCTTCCGAGCTTGTCTCAACCGTTGTTTAGCATTAGAATGGGCCCAGAACCTTTTCTTAAAGGTTGTGCACACACTGTGAGTCCTAGGAACTAGGGTATTGATTTCAAGTTCAGTGTTGGGTTCGATTATTAAGTTAATCCTTGTATTCTCTCAAATAGGCTTTTAGACGCAACATATCGCTCTAGACGAAACAGCAGAGGGTTAAGTGTTCTTTGGGCTTATTGTGAGTGGACATTTGTTTTCTAAATTATTCTATGGAATTGATGAATTATGAATACCAGATTCTGAACAGTCTATTATGCAAATTCAGATTTAGTTTAAGAACGGTTTTGGGATTGATATCGATTTTTAAAAGGGATTTTGCTTATTTATTTAAGAAAGGATTTTTGGAAAGGTATTTGAGTTTTGAAATTAAGATTGGTTTTGAAAAGAATTGTGCATGTTTAATTGTGGATTGTTTTGGAAAGTTGGGAACAGATTTGGGAAAGTGTTTTGGAAAGTGGATTGGTGAAAAAGGAATTTTTATAACAAATTTTCGAGAAATACTTTCTTTTTGTTCACTCACATTTTTACTGTTTTGCGACCCCAGGCAATTGATAGCTCAGAGTTCAGACTACCATGTCAGCTACTCTGTCGTCGTTTCCATCCCAATCTATCCATCTCGCAGGACTTTGTCTTATGTTGCTTTCTATTTTGGAACTGATCTTGTAAACTAAACTCCAATAATTGCTCTGATATTGCCCATGTATGATTGAATTTGAGGTCGAATGCCTATTTTGTCAATTGTGTGCTTTAGCATTATGTGTGCTGCCAGTTGGGTTGTTGTTTGGGTTATTTGACAGGTGGAACAATTCGGGAAATGTTTGTTTTACAAGGGAGACTTCGCCGAATTTTCAGTAGAAGTGTTGGCTCATGCTCTGTTCTGTTTTATTATTATATTGTATTTAATTAAATAAAATAAATCATAGGAGACTAGAAATGAAAGTATCCTTCTAGCTGAGGTCGAGACCGCGTCGTCGAGGCATCATCGTTATCCGTTTCGTAGTAGTGTGCTACTATCACTTTGTACATTTTATTTTTCCCCGGGTTGTAAACTTAATCTTTAGTCGCTCCGCTTGCTTGTTTTGAGTTTGGGTAGAAGGCATGAAGCCTATTCGAATAGTCTTAACTGTTGTGCATGACTTCACTTTGTGCATGCTGGAAGTTGGGTTTATTCTGGCACTTGTTTGCAGGTATTGTAAATTGGGAAATATTCCAGTTATAGTGGGAATTCTGTAGAAATTTCAGTAGAAGTTGAATAGTCTATCAGTTTAAATTGGGGCTAAAGGACTTTTTAGTAAAGTGGGTCCGACATCTGCTGGATGTCGGACAGGAAGTAGGGCTCGACACGGGTTTCGATAAGAAATCCGGGGTGGATCCTGTCATGTTGGGTGTTAAGCTCATAATTTCATACATATACATGCCCAATTTACTTACTTCTTTTGCTTAGTTTCCTATAATTCTAAGTTATTTGCCTCTATTTGTGTGTTATGTAGGCCAAAAGAGTAAGAGAGAATAATTCATGCAATTCAAGCATGTTAAGGCCTAATTTGGATGAATGGATGAAGAGCTTAAAGACAAACTCATTTTGGCTACAGCCCCTTGCCAGTCCAGTTCCGTAGGTCACATTGCAATATTTGTTTCAGCAACCTACACAGCTCGGATGAGGCCACATTCTTCATGAAAGTTGTTCCAATGGGTGTGTACTATAACATATCCAAAATTCAGCCCCATTGGATGAATATGGAGTCTATTACCTAACAAACACAGAGCCATGCTCAGGATGGATTTTATCAGCGCGCAAAATGAGTTAGCAATTTGTTTTGGCCTTATTCTCAAACACTCTCCAAACACTTCTCCCATTCCTTCATCAAATTCTCAATGTTCCCAAACACTCCTCCCTTCTCTTTCTCAAACACATCTCTCCTCTCTTCGAAAAGTCTCCAAATCTCTCAAACACATGTCTCAACCTTTCCAAAATCCTCAAAGCTCTCAAACACATGTTCTTCCAAAATTCTCTAAAGTTCCCAAACACTTTCTTCTCCCTCCTCAAAGTTCTCAAACACTTCCCTTCTTTCCCTCAAATTCTCTTAGTTTTGCTTTCTAGTTCTCAATTCTAGCTTTCTTTAATGTTTTCTTAGTTGTAATTTATTTTTCTTTGTTATGTAAATTCTTTTCTTAAGTTTTCAAGTTGAATTAGTTTCCATGTTTCAATTATGGTTTTTGTTCTTATTCATTATGCTTATAAGTTAATATGTTAGTTTGAATGATTGATCACCATTTAGGCTTGCGTGTTAGCTATCTTGGTTTGAATTAAGAGTATACACCATGCTTTAATTCGAATTGAACTATGAATAAGAAGAGTATGTATGGACATTCGACAACAGGGATTAGATACATGCTTGGTTGTTTAAATTGTTCTTCTATGCTTAATGGGTTTCTAATGCTTAATTTTAGGTTAGACAACAAATGATCAAATTAGGGAATTAGGAACACAAGGTTATGACCACACACCATGGCTTAATCATACTTTAGCTAGAATCAATCCATTAATCTAAATTGAACTTGGGAACTTATTTGCTTGAGTTACTTATTTCTTTCTTCCTTGTTTTATGTTCTTTGTTTTTGTTTCTATTTTGTGTAGGGAAACTAAATTGGATCATTCAATCACCAATCCCTGTGGAATCGACCTCGCACTTACATATGCTATACTACCAACGGTTCGTGCACTTGCGAGTATCACAAGTTGAGGATGCAGCTTAATCCATTTTGGTGGAGCTAAATCTACGCAACATTGGGCTCGAATATGAGTTAAAACGAAGGAGTTATGGTCTACGGTAGTTAGAGGCAATTTTGTAATTTTAAAAAATTCAGATTTTTAAGCCAAGCCAGCTGGTCTACTCTCTCCTCGATTTTCTCTCCTCTCACGAAATGCGGTGCACAGCACCTGAGGAAAATTCTAAGGGCCACTCCTCTCGTGGGGTGTGGTCAACGTTTGACCGAGCCCTCGGTTGATCTCTCTTGGTTAGAGTCCACGTGTTGATCTCTTGTTGGGTAGACTGGGCTTGACTATTACTGAACGTCAACACTAATAAAATGTTTGTAAATTGGATATTAGTTGGGGCTACAAACTCGATTCACTTGTTTCAAATACATAAATAAATAAATCTTCCAGTTCTTGAAGGTGTGGCAACTCTCTTCAGTTTCTCTCTTTTTTTTCACTTCTACATAGTCGACTGTTGAGACTTTGTCTTCAGCAACTTCAAATTATATTACAAAAAAGAGTGGAGCCACGACTTGACTTCAACTTGCTGAAATTGTTACCGAGTACAAAATAATATTAGAATAAAGAGCGAAGCCGCGACTTGGCTCCAGCTTAGTGAAATTGTTCTGTACAAATGTTTACCAACATGTATTAAATAGCCAATTCGAAACCTAATTAGAGAACTGAAATTTGAATAGAAATGATTTATGAATAACTTAAAACGGAAAATAGGGAAGCTGAGATAAGTATTTAATAGTCATTCACATGCATACTATAAAGTGGAATCCATTGAGGTGTTCTTCAGGCACGAAAATATCGTATTGCCCTCGACTCAATTCGTACTAGCGCATTTTAAAACAAGTATTATATGACTCCGTTGTATCAGAAGCATACTGAGTAAGGCTCCAATTCGAGCAGTACAACCGTACAAATCCCATCTCTAAAAAATACATGATTTTTTGTTGGACCACGGGGGCTTCATTCCCATCTCTCAAAATAGCAAAAAATAAAAGAAATTCCTAGGCCTCTCCTTAGATGACACCAACTTCTTTCAGTTGATGCCGTAATAAAACCCTAATGACAGCCTTATGAATTAGGTTTGGCACAGTTGTGGACCGTTTATTCTTTTACATAATAATTAATCAGTGATGAAAGGAAGGATGAATCCTATCTATCATTGTTACCCTATTTACACTATTACATTTTACTATTTGCGCGACAAAGACGATTTGATCGCGCAAAGCACATTTAAGTTGCACAAACTTCAACGAGACATAAGCTTCGTTGCGCTGAATCTGTCGCGCAAAGATCGTGAAGAAAGACTTTGCGCGACAAAGTTTTTTAATTGGTCGCGAAAACGTGAGCGACGATTAACCTCGTCGCACAAAAGTTTAGGGAAATTTAATTTTACGTTAATAAATTTGGTTTTTTTTTTTGTAATAAAATGAAATTGCAATAAAAAAAATGTAATGAAGAGAATTTTTTTTATTTATAAAATAATATAAATGTATGTAGTACAAGAGAAATGTTTAAAATGTAATTAAGAAAGTAAAAAACTAATTAAAAAATGTTCCAAAATCTACGTGGTCGTCTTGCAAATGCGGCTCGAAGGTCTGGACATTATCGACAGGGGCAGAGGTGTGGTGGCCATGCTCGAGTTGGAGGGGCTCGGAGGTCGACGAGGGACATATTAAAATGTTAGTACGAAAAAAAAAAATTAATATTAATGACATATTAAAAATTGAATATAAACGACTTTATTATTACCCGCTGCCGGGCCTCCATCCTATATGAGAAGGGCTTGGAACTTGAATGGTGGAGAAGAGTCTTCTTTTCCCTATTGCCCTTATTTGCTTTCGCCTTCTTCTGTTATACAAAAAATAAACGTATTAGTTGAAATTGAGATGAAATATAAAAAATTAAATAAGCATTAGTAAGAAACGTGTAATAATTTTCAACTTAATATTAAAAAAAAATACCACATAATCGAGCTCCTAAAAATGACCGCAGAGCCACACCTAACTATCCTCCCGCCCCTCAAGGTCCTTCGGGCAACCCTTCTGAAGAGCGACCTACGGATCATCAAATGCCTAAAAATGGTGGTGCAGGTCGCTCTTCCACTGCTTGTACCTCTCTGCAAAGAGTCTGTTGATGTACGCCAACGACTCGTCGTCGAGATCCTCTAAATTGTAGTTCGTCTGCAATAAATTAATTACATACATTAAGTAATAGACATATATAAAGTTTGAAGGAAAAACAATTAAAAGGTAGGATACATACCGACAACTGTCTGCGCACCTCCGTCCTCATCTCGTCAGGCATGACCTTTCAAGACTTCCATTTCATCAGGCAATGGGTCCGAACGATGCGACCAATGTCGTGGGCCAATGAGCTATGCTGGTCCGCCGTTGGTGCAGCCCAATGCCGCTCGTCATATCACTTGGTCACCCGGGTGACCTTTGTCGTCTTCAACTGGCGACAAGGTCCTCGGGTGTTCTTCTTGGCTGCAAAAAAATATAAAATTAACGTTAAATAACAAATCCTACTAAAATCTTGGTCCAAAACAATTGGAGTTCAAGGAAATCTTTACTTGGTTGTGAACCCGACGCACCAGTAGCGAATGTCGATGTTGTGTCGGTCGTGCTGGGGGGGGGGGGGG